AACCCACCCACCCCCCAGTCCCCAGAAAAACCTGATGTTTACATTCCAATTCTGGTAGTAGGCAATCAAACCAAGAGTGCAAACCAACATGTGTCTGTCTGTCTCTACCACTGTGCTTTTCTTCCTATCCCCAATAGTTCTGTTTGGAGGTCACATTTTTCCCTGAAATACCCATGTTTGACAAGTGGACTGATGCCCCGTGGCTGTGTATATACTGAAACACACACACACCCCACACAGAAGGTACATACACATGAATGTCCTCATACAGTCCCAGTAATAGTTTCTCTCCTCACAAATAGACAACTAACAGCGCTGCAGTGATTTAAAGACTGACCTAATGGAATACTCAGAAAATGAATTTACTCCCACAACATACAGTCACTGGACTATTACAAGAGGATTACTAGCTCCAAACACTAGTTTGGTTCCTGTAGACACTGCTATACGTTGACATTCCTACGGAGATCTCAATTAGGCAGTTTATCGGCTTCTGCTGATCAGCCATGCTGTGAATGGAGGAATTCCTTTACTCCAGAAGTTAATGAATACGAAACCATGCATTTAAAAAACATACTGCATGCTTTACAATCAAATGGAGACCTTTATCTTCAGTAGAAGTACTGTGACATTTATCAAGTGATGCAACATTTGAGTGGTCAAAAGTAAACCAGATTAAAGAAACCTCTGGTATAAGCCACTGCCACACTTTGCTGTTAGCATAGTTTTCATCTACCATTTGAAACATTTTCCTGTACTTGTTTCAGACAGTGTATAGGTTCTGGAAGGTTAAAAATTCATCTTTTGAAACATAACAGTAAGATAAACCCTTTTTTTTTTTTTTTTTTACTATCTAGAAATAACCCAAAGCTCACCAACAAATTACTTCATTAATTCAATAAGGCAAGGTTATATTATTCAAAAAGACATCTGAAAATCACTCCTTCCACCAAGATGCAACTGCAAGGCCTATCAGTTAAACTATTGATTAGTGTTTCAGTAAGTGTTATGTGAACTTCACAGGTAAAACAGATTAATAATTTCCAAGTATTGAAACAAGTCATCAAATGACCAAAATCTGAGATTACCTACTTATTCAAACTTACTACAAATGCAATCAGAAGAACTAAGTAACATTTCTACATCACACCCGGACAGAATCCATTCTTGTGGGCACCTGCTGGATACACTACAAAAGCATCAGCGTTGTCACCGAACGCCATGCTGTGCCCCAGCCACATCCTGCCCACGGGCAGGGCCCCCACAGCTCCTGGCGTTGTGCTGTGCGGGAGGTGTCTAGGGGTGGTGACAGGTTTTGCTTTGGAGTAATAGTTCTTTATACAGAAAAGCCTCCAATGTTTCAGCACAATACTCTTATAAAAAACAGTGTGTCATGAGGTAGAATTAAAAAAAGTAACACTCAGTGCATATTAACAGGCATAGAAAGAATTAAAAGTCACAAGCAGTCTACCAGCTCAAGGAACTTCTACGAGGAAAAACCAAAACCAGCCATGAAAGCAAACAAGCAAACAGCCAAGAGCTGCTTTGATTTCATGGGTGCTTCTTCATCTCTGAAATGAACACAGTTCAAGGCTGTGAGAACAGCAAGATTTCTTTCAAAATGTTACCTGTAGTCCCTTCAATGGCGTTTAGGAAAACACGACATGAAGCAGCAGCAGCCTAGGAGTGGGGAGGGCACATGCTCAGGCAAAAACCCATCGTGGTCCAGCATGGGGACAGGGGCAGAACCACCAAGCCACAAGTTTTCATGGAGGGGAACACAGAGAAGGGCAAGTGTTCAGAGAGTCACACTGCGTTCTGTATCAAAATACTTCAGGAGCAGGAAACTAACCACTTCCACCGGATTAGTGTCTGGAACACAGTACCCAAATTCTGCCACATGTGGCTACTGGTTTGGGTTCTTTTGTTTTGGGGTTACACACCTCATACACCCCCCCTCCAGCTTGGCCAATTAACAACTCCCTGTACCTCAAGTTTTCTTCCATTCCACTGCTCTAAGTCACACAAGAGGGAAGTCCCCCTGACCTGTTGCTAACAAGCCAACAGATCCAGGCTGCCCCAGAAGCAGGTTCAGGCTCACAGGCTGTTACATGCAGGCAAAAGCAGCCGGGTGACAATAGAGGGATGTACTTCAACTGGTCTCAGATACATTTGCATATTTTTTTCATTCAGTCACTAACTAGAGCCCATTTTTCATGGTTTGGCCAATTAACATAAAGTGAAAAAATACCTTTTTATGAATTG